TTCCCCTGCTGGGTATCTTCCCCAAAGAATTAAAAGAATTATACCACAGTCATATATGTGGACCCATGTTCACAGGAACACAATTTGTAATAGCTAAAACTTGGAAGCAGCCCAGATGCCCAACAACCGGAGACTGGGTAAAAAAAATGCGGGGTTTTTTTATAAGATGGAGTACTACTCAGCCAAAAAGAATTAGAAATTAGGGACATTTATAGCTAAATGGATGCACATTGTGGCAATATTCTTAAGTGAAATAAATAGGACGCACATGTGTAAATATCGAATAGTTTCTCTAGTGTGAGAAACTGAAAGTGTAAATAAGGATTGAAGTGATTAAAATGAATAATTGATAATTTGAAATAAGAAAAGGTCCAAAGGTGTAAGGGTGGTGGGAGGGGAAGGAGAAAAGAAAGAAGGGAAAGGAAAAATTACGAGAAAAGAAAAAAATGGAATCAAAATCTATATAAATAGCAAAAGATGGAGGGGGTGAAGGGCACACAGGTAATGGGGAAAAAATAAGAACCAAGACACATCATGTACAGGTACAAGCACCCAATGATAAATGTAAATGCATTGTATACCTAAAATGTACCAATAAAAGAATTTTTTTAAAAGGTGAAAGTTTAGCAGAATTAATTTTGCAAAGCATGATCCAACTATATGTTATGTACAAATAACTCACTGTAGATTCAAAATCACATACAGTGAATAAAAAAGAATATAAAAAAGTATACCATGTGAATAGTAAACAGTAGAGAACAAGGTTGGCTCTATTTTTATCAGGCAAAATAGACTTTGCATCAAAAACTGTTACAAGAGACAAGGAAAAATGTAACATAATGATAAATGGGTCAATTTCTATAAGAAGATATAACTCTGAGTGTCCAATATTTTCACACCTAAGTAACAAAACTGAAGGGGTAAATAGTCGTATAAGAAGAATAAAGGACTTCATGAGCTCACTTTTAGCAACAGACAGATCATCCCTGGAGAAAGTGAAAAAATAAAAAACAAACTAGAATAAGAGACAAATAAAGAACATTCCATCCAACAGCACCCAAACCCACATTCTTTTCAAGCCCACATGGAATATTCTCCAGTATCAATTACTTATTAGATCACAAAACAAATGTAACAAATTTAAGAAGGTTGAAATCATATCAAGTATATTTTGTAGTAACAATCCTGTCAAACTAAAAAGCAGTGACATTAGACTTAGAAAATTTGAAACATGTGGAGATTAAACACTACTGAACAGCCGAAGAAGAAATCAAAAGAAATATCTGGAAAATAACTTAAGACAAATGAAAATGGAAACACAACATAGCAAAAATTATGGGATGTAACAACAGCTCTTCTAAGAAAGACATTAATACTCATTAAAAGTCACATTAAAAACAACAGATCTCAAATAAACAGGCTACCTTTATAATGTAAAGAACTAGGGGGTGGGTAGTAGGGTATGGAGAACAAAGAAATCCTAAATTAGCAGAAAAAAGGAAATAAAAATTAGTACAGAAATAAATGAAATAGAGTAAAAGTTGGCTTTTTGAAAAGATAAGCAATTGACAAAACTTTGGCTATACTAATAGAAAGAAGATTCAAAATCATAAATGGAAAGAAACAATTGATGCTACACAAATACAAGGGACTACTTCTGTTACCCCTGGCCCTGTGGCAGCACATTATTCTCTTCCTTGCTCTCCTTTTTCTTTCTCCTTTTCTTTCTTCTTGTGCCCTTCCCTGAGTCCTGGTCAGAGTATGTATGATCAGTGCCTATACAAAGGATGTCTGTTTTAGTCAAATGATGCATTTCCATGAAAAACAGGAGGCCACTTTGTCTTAGGACCACATGATTGAAAAATTGGATATTAGATTCAACCAAACTGAGCTGGTTTGGACAAGCTGAAAAGCTGTCCTGGTTGAAACTCCCCCTCCAGCCACATTGTAAAGTATTTGCATGCAAATTTCCAGCCCATCAGCTCAGGGCAGTTCACAGTCTCCATGACAACCCCCAAACTGATCACATATATAGTCAGGAAGGAAAGAAGGTGAGATTCTTGGAGACATGGTGGCAACTCCTTGGTTCTTCCTTTTTTATTTCAGCTTCCCTCCCCTCCCTTCAACCCTTCCTCCCCCTCTTCTTTCCCTAGTTCTTTTTCATTTGAACATTTTCTTCCTATTTCATATTATCTATTATACATTTTGGTCCTTATTTACACTTTCAGTTTCTCACACCAGAGAAACAATGCAGTATTTACACATTGGTGTTCGATTTATTTCACTTAAGAGTATGGTCTCGAGGTGCATTCATTTACCTAGAAGTGTCTCAAGTTATCCTTCTTTACGTCTAAGTAGTACTCCACTGAATAAAAAACCCCACATCTTCTTTATCCATTCATCAGTTGATGGGCATTTGGGCTGCTTCCAAGATTTAGCTATTACAAGCTGTGCTGCTTGCTATAAACATAGGTGTGCACATATTGCTGTAGTATGATGCTTAAAAATTCTCTGGGGAAGATACCAAGAAGGGGAATAGCTGGGTCAAATGGAATCTCTAGTTTTAGTTTTTTAAGGAATCTCCACACTAATTTCCACAGTGGTTGCATCAGTCTACATTCCCACCAACAGTGGAGATGGGTTCCTTATTCCCCAACAGCTCCACCAGCATTTATTACTAGCTGATTTCTTGATAACAGCCATTCTTTCTGGAGTGAGATGGAATCTTATCATTGTTTTAATTTTCATCTCTCAACCAGCGATATTGAACAATTTTTCATACATTTATTTGCCATTTCTACTTCTTCATCTGAGAACTGTCTATTCACTTCAGATGCCCATTTTTTTATTGGGTCTTTACATTTGGGGGATCTGATTGCTTTTAGTTCTTTATATATTCTAGATATTAGTCCTTCATCTGAAGAATAGCTGGCAAAAATTTTTTCGCACTTTGTGGGTTGTCTTTTCACTCTGTTGGTAATTTCTTTTTTTTCTTTTTGGTGTGCAAAAGCTTTTTAATAAGATGAGATCCCAGTTGTTGATTCTTTGTAATATTTTGGTTTTTCCACATGCTAAAAACTAAAACTAGACCCATGTCTCTCATCATGCACTAAGCTAAAATCTAAATGGATCAAAGATCTAAATATTAAAATAGAAACACTAAATCTGCTGGAAGAGAGAATAGGTAGAACTCTCGAAGGCATTGGTGTAGGCAAAAACTTTATAAACAATTTCTTGGGAAAAATCATGAATATTCTCACTTGTTAATCCCTAGGGCCCTTCCAATTCCCAAAATGCATATAACCTCACATCTGTGCTTTGCTAGAGGGACTGATCTGAGAACTACGCTTCCAGTTCCTCCTCCCTGCACTGGCTGCTGAGAAGCCTCTGCTTCAGCAACCTTTCATGTGGTCACTGGCTATGCTCTGGTGGGCTAAAAACATGAGATTTGGCTCAAAACTGGGTAACAATAACAGGTTTATTCAAAATTGCCAAGAACTGGAGGCAACCCAACTGTCCTTCAGTGATGAATGGTTAAGCACACCATGGGACATGGGATTCTACTCATCAGTAAGAGTAGTGAGCTGTGAACACACCGGCACCGAGATGAATTGCTAAGAAATTACCCTGGGTTTTGAAAAAGACACAGCCAAAAAGTATTACTTATTCCATTTATATGACATGTTTGAAATGACAGAATTTTAGAAATGGAAGAAAATTAATGGTTGGCAGGGTTAGGGACCAGATAGGAAAGGAGGAAATGTGGGGGAGGTGGGTGTGTCTATGAGAGGACAATATAAGGTGTTGCTGTGGTGAAGGAACTGTTGCACGTCCTTACTGCAGGGGTAGATACACAAATCTACACAGAATTGAATGCACGCATGCATGCGCACACACACACACACACAAATGAGTGCAAGTACAAGAGGGGAAAGCTAAATGAAATCAGTTAATTGCATCCACGTCAATAGCCTGGTTGTAATATAATATCATTTACAAAACGCTGCATTGGGGAAAATTAAGTAAAGGATCCTAGGAGACCTCTTTGAAATATTTCTTACAACTTCTTGTGAATCCATAATTATCTCATTAAAAATGTCAATTTAATGAAGACACCAGACAACAGTACATTGAACCTTGGGTCCAAGTCAAGGAATTTAAACTCTTCAATAAACAGGTGGGAGCTACAGAAGCTGGTTAAGTAAGGATGACTTGATAGAGTGATGGATCAAAAGGACTGACATGATAGGCAGGTGATGGGTTAAAGAAGTTATAAAAGGCAGGGACTCTGAAAACTATACTCAGGGCTCAACAGAGCAGTAAACACTGAAGCTAACATTGTACTCAGTGAAGTGTGGAGCACTCATACCTATGTCACTTGGCAATGGCATATCCAACACACATTCACTTTGTCCAAGTTTTTTTGGGAATTTTCCCTGTATTTGAGTATCTTCTCATAAAATAAAGGCATTTCAATGAAGACAAAACCTTAATCCTTGGCTTAAGTAATTGTTATAATTTTATAGATGTAAACAAAAATAATTTTTCTACTTGTGATAATTGGCATATTTTTTAAAAATAATTTTAAGATGTTCAAAGATTTGAAAAATACATTAAGCTTGCGATTTCAATTAATTTTAACTAAATGTTGACAAAATTTTTGATTAAATGAGTTTGCAAATCAATGTTTAAATGTCTGAGGAAATTTACTTGCTGAGTTTAACGTTTTGACATATTAGTTTTGTAAACAGTATTTAAATGCTCAGAATAATATTATTTTATGAATTTATACATTTATGTAATTGTGCATGAAATAAAATACAACAGGATGAAGTTCTTTGCTTGCACTAAATATTCCGAGCATCCCACTGCAGATCTGGAATCTGAGTCCATCTCTGCCACTGTTCTCTCAGCCACATCAAGCCATCTTCAACAGGGTTACCTCCTCTTTAAAGCCTTTCAGAGCTCATGATCTGGACCAGGAAGCAGACTGGGCTTACCTTATGGGGTTGTCCATCCGGGACACCGTGAGGAAGGCAGCAAGATTGGCGGTGTAGGAGGAGCACACAATGAGGGTGAAGAGCCACCAGCTGCCCATCACTATGCGCAGGGCCATGGAGTTCACAGAACCTTCACCACCTGGGGAGACAGGCAGAGGAGATGGGCCAGTGCACCTGAGCACAGCTCACCCCAGAAAGACATTCCCTCCACAGCCAGGGACAGACTGCCACTGTGGATGCTCTGGGCACCAGGAGAGTGACTGCCAGAAGGGCATTTCCTTTAGGAAAAGATCCTAAAGCTACCAATCTTAGAAAGGAACTGAGGACTACCAAAGAGGGAAATGTTAGGATTGGCCTTTAGGGACAGGAAGTTTGCCAAGCACCAAGGAGAGAGTCCTGACCATCAGAATCTCATAGAAGACTCTGCTTCACAGTGTTAAGAACTTCCAGGGCTGGAAACTTGATGTAAGGTCCCTTTGCAGTTTCAAATTCACATAGAGAAGACAGGAATTCTGTGAATATAGAATTACTTCCTACCTGAAACCTTCCCTAGTTTTCTTTTAAACCAGAGAAATGAGATATACCATATCAGTTTTATTAATTTTCAGCTCTCACTAGATGATTTTTTCCCAGCACTTTTTAAAAATCATTGCATGTAACTTTCAGTAAGAAGCTGCCTCTTTGAGGCCAATTATTTCTCTTTGGTCCCTTAGGGGGTAGCTGAAGAAAGCTTCTCCCTATCTATTCTCCTCACATAACCTTGCAAAGCTTTTGCCATGGCTCAAACAAGGCCAAGAGTCACATTTAAGAACATTGCAATTTGTCCTTTTCAGTCAAAATTGCACAGTCCTGTAACTCACAACTGGATAGAAAAGCTATCCAGACCTCTCAAAGGTAGGACACTTTGAATCTCAAGAACAGCTGGAGTGCTGGGTAGGTGATTGCAACACAAATATGATCTTTTTTTCTCCATTAAGCCTCCAAGTTTAAGCAAGCTTCAGAGTTTCACTTGACAACCTCATGTGCATAGCAATCGATCTAATGTGGGAGGGGAGAAAAGTGCTAGCATAACTCCAGAGTTAATTTTATCTAAAGTGGAGAATCAGGATTTTGTGTTGAGTTCTTTGTTGTTGTTTCATTTAATTCCTATCTGATACTGCTTAGAGAAATTGGGTGCATCATGATCTTAGCACTGTTCTAGAGACGGAATAAAATCACATTGAAAATGACTTTGGTGAGATGCATCTGAGAAATTCGCTATTGAACAAATTCTTCCAGGCCCTGGGGCTAATCAAACCTCAGGAAATCAGAAGTTACCTTGCTGGACGAAGGCTCCGTAGACGATCCAGATGGCGCTGTGCAGCGTGGCAGACGCAGATGGTCGAGGCTGGGCGGCACTCTGAGCCCTCACTGCCTGTATCCGGTTCAACACAAATATCAGCACACCCACCACAGGGATGGCGGCCGCAATGCAGGCCCACACCGCAAAGTCAAACGGAGCAAAAAGAGAGAAGATGCTGATTTTCTCCTCGGGCTTTTTGATTAGAATCCCCACCGAGTAGTCCATGTAGCGCTTGCTGAAGTCCACAACGCTCTCCCTCTCCGGGGTGATGGTGATGGCTGAGATGGCCACGTCTGCCCTCTGAAAAGCAAAGCAGCTCATCATGGCTCACTGTGGGATGGCACCCACATCAGGGTCTGCCCCAGCCCTCTGAGAAGCTCTATTCTGAGGGAAGCAACACTATCGCTGCATCCATTACCTCCTTCAACTTACAACTTTGTCTCCCCAAACCTACAAAGGCCTGAAAATGGAGAGGAGTCCAGTAAAGCACCTTCCTTTTTTCTGAGCTGCAGTTTATCTTCACTTTCTCATCGCTCCCTAGCAAACTTGATCTCCTTTCTTTTTCCTGTGTTTCCTTTACCTCCCACCACAAAGACCCTTCTAACTTCTATGCAGATCTGAATCTTTCCCATGTAACAAGGCCATGGGCAGACTCCATGTCCCCAACAAGCCTCTCCAAACTCCATCATCCCACACTGATCTCTCTCCTCTAAAATACTTCACAAGTTGAAGAGTGAGTTCTGTGACTCTGTTGGATCTCATTAGTATACCAGTCCCTGATTGTTCTACATGCAGGGTCTGTGCCAGAGGGTAAAATCCTGCAAACATAGAGGAGTCACCTACTTATTTCTGTTTTCCACCTGTCATCCAAGGCCTGCAGATGCATGAGCTGACTTCTCTTATAGTAAAGCCATCATAGGAGGGTTCCCTCTGGACATGTCATACTGTGACCTAAAAATTACCTTCCAGGACTTTTGCATGCCAAACCAGATTTCATTTTAGAAACAGACAAAGTCTACATTAAGATGGAATTAGCCTAAGGACAAAGCTACTCAACTTGGTGGAGGCTAAGAGTCCTGTGCCTAGATAAGTGAATGGAAGGTTAAATCCAGCCTGGAGTTCCCCACTGATGGCAAAAGCATGAGAAGGCACTGCCACAATCCTGATCTGGGCTCCTGAGTCTCCAAGTCAGAGGCATCAGTAGAACCAGATATATTTAAGAATGACCAATTACGACTCTGGTCTAACCTATAGGTTCAAAATGGGGGAAATGCACATGGGATGATTTTATAAGATTTAATGTGTGGGCTAGAGGAGCAGAACACTGAGATCCTGAACAGAAATCCAACAGCAGCTTAGGGAAGAAAAAAATCACTGGAGATGACTGTGTCAGAACCTGATCAGTTCTGGCCTCTTTTCCAAGATACCCAAGATACCCAAGATCCGGAGATCTCTGTTAGGGTTAGGAGAGTTCACAGCATATGTAAGGACTGAGAAAGAGAGTAGTGGAGGAAGTAAGCTAACAATGTAGGATGAAGGGAAGCTAATTTAGGAGGTAAGGTTCAGACAAGGTACAGGAAATCAACTCACAGCACAGGGGAACAACAGGTAGTCTGTGATGGGAGAGAGGGACACCCCTGACAGGGGATGCAGGTGTGTCTTTGAAGTAGAATTTCGGGCCTAAAAGTCTCAATTTCTTTCCCCAATATTCGAGTAAAATCTTTTTCTTTTTTAACTGAGAAGGGTAGAAGATTATTAGGTAGCTGGAGGTGAAAGGTAAACTTTTGAAACTTTTTCTGGGGACTGTAGTCAAGGGACCAGACAAGGGACAAGTTACGGGACTTGAGCTGTGTTGAAGCCCAGTGAAGGCTTGTGACCCCACATACCAGTGCATTAATCTGGACAGATTGGTGATACTCTTCTCTAATTGGATGCAGAAACCTGGATGTTCAAGTCAAGAGGGTAAATAATAGAATGGAGTCAGGGACTGAGTGCAACAAGAAATCAAGAAGACAGGAAATCATGAAAGATGAAGGGCAGGGGTGGGGTCTGTGGCCAACCATGGGCAACATCAAGGCAGGAAAGGCTTAGGCATCAGAGCACAGAAACATCAGGGAAAGTTGGCCTCCAAAGCTTATGGTAAGTGAAAGCTCTAGACACAAGGGACCATGTATAATATGCCTTCGCTTATGTAAAATGTTCACAAACACAACTCTACAGAGACAGCAAGTAGATTAAGGGTTGCCAAGGGCTGGGAGGGGTGGGAATGGCATTAACTGTAAACAAGTATGAGTGCTCACAATGGGGTAATGGAAGTGCTCTAAATAAGATTATGTGGCCATTGCACAACTCGGTAGCTGTATTAAACATCATTGAACTGTACATCTAAAATGGGTAAATGTTATTGTATCTAAATTCTATCACAATAGAGTTGTTTTGAAAAAAGATTAAGAAAAACTGGAGGGATTATAGACCTCGAATCTGACTTCATAGGTTTAGAAAACAGAGATGTTGTGTTTCAAGAATAAAGCCCCCAAACAGAAGGAAGTCATCCTGAAATAGAGCAGAATGGGTGGCCTGTGTGATGCTGACAAGATGCGGGGGAGAGGGCCCTGGACCACAGCAGCAATGTTCCTGGGAGGTGAGGGGGTGACAGTCCTGGGAATCAGGGTTGCCTGCATCGATACCAGAAAGTGCCCACGCTGCAGTAGCACTGGAGAGGTAGGGCTGGAATCTTTCCCCACTACGGTACATGATCATGGGGAACACCCCAGAGGCCAGAGACAACAGGGGCAAGATGGGGGTGTGGTGACTTGGCTTCCAGCCAAGAGTTTCTGCAAGGGCAGGTCTTACACAATGGAGCAGAAGGGATGATCTGAAATGGGAATGAAAAGCTGGGGAAGGTGACACACTGACAGATAGCAATATATGCACATGCAAACACTGGTTCACACACACACTTATACACTCGGTTGTACACGTCACACTGGTAGTGTCTGGGGAATAGGAAAATAAGTGCTCACCAGAACTCCCAGGAGGACCTAGGTTCATGTTGCTGTGCATGGGTGGGGCATGTTTCTGGAAGGCAGTATGTAGATCATGGTATGCTACAGTGTATAGGCTCCAAAGGAACATGAGCAAGGGAAGGGGATGGGAAGATGAAAAGACAGAATGAGGGGAGGGGGAGCGAGGGTCTCAGAGTTGGAGAGAGGTAGCTGTGGTCCATGAGGCTGGTCCCAAGAGTCCAATGCTCAATAGGTCAATTTTAGGGATTCCCGCGGTGAGAGAGTAGGTCCCCACTGGCCTGCTCTTGGGACCTACCTTGCTGATGAGCTCCCCGATCATCCCGTTCCAGGAGGTGTTATGGAGCTGGTACCCATACCTGCCATCAGGGGCCTGGTAAATCTCGTATTTGAAGCCCAGAGCTTTGGCCAGCGCATCCAGGACATCTATGGAGAAGCCTTTGTAGCGCTTGGGCTGCCCAAGGATGTTCTCAGCCACCATCACAAAAGGCTCTTCCTGAGAACAAGAGAATGAATGTTCTTCAATTAAATAAAAGGTCCATTTATACGTATTGCCAGGGTATTGTTGGAGAGACCAATCTGAAGAATAACTTTATAATGCTGGTATTGGGGTGGGGGTGTAGCTCAGAGGCAGAGCTTAACCCTGGGTTCAATCCCTACGACCACCAATAAGAGTAAAATTCAGTATTTACCCAGTTTCTACCTAGAGACTAAACTCTGCCTTTTCTTTTTTTTTCCATTTAGTTTATTGGTACATTTTAGGTATACAATACAGTTACATTCATCACTGGGATCTTGTACCTTTACATGATGTATCTTGGTTCTTATTTTTTCCCCATTCTCCTGCCCTCCCTTCATCCCCTCCACCTTTCTCTATTTACAAAGACTTTGTTTCTATGTTTTTCCTTTTCTCATATTTCTTCTTTTCCCTTCCTTCCTTTCCCCATTCCCTCCCACTTCCCCTATTCCTTTAAACATTTTCTTCCTATTTCACAATATCAATTATGCATTTTGATTCTTATTTACACTTTTAGTTTTTCACACCAGAGAAACTATTAGGTATATACACGTGTGTCCTATTTATTTCACTTAAGAATATGGCCTCAATGTGCATCCACTTAGCTATAAATGTCTCTAGTTTCTCATTCTTTATGGCTGTAAACTCTGCCTTTTCAAAAAACAGTTTATGGACTATCAAGGTACTGTACAGGACGACCGATCCCATCCTCAGGTCAATACGGAACAATGGAGATTTAATTGTCCTGTGTATGTCATCTCAGGTTCTGCCCAGGCCCCACTTCTCAGAATAACATGGTGTGTTTTCATTCCTTCCTTTGTAAATTCATTTTTAACCAGGACTCTGTCCTTGGGAAATGCCATAATTCTATGTGACTACATAAGAAATGTGACATGTCTCGCCCAGGATAATTCATGACAACAAAGCTCTGTGACATTAGATTGAGAAAAGGCAGCATCACATCTGTCAGGTTGTACTAGAAAATGTATGCTGATTATTTGACGAGGTCAGACCATAAGTCAAAGGATGAGAGAGGATTAAGCCCTCAGACCCAAAGTCCAAAGCCATTCTGCATTCATACCCACACAGTTAGTGTGTGTCATGTTGGGCAGGTGGCCATCTGGAAAACATCTCTGCATCCCCACCAATTTCCTGGTGTGGAACTACACAAGAAGAGACTTTGGCAAACAGACCCAAAGAATGTACCTCATTAAGTTAGTTTTGTTGGAAAAATATGATACCAGGCTTATTCATAGGGAAAGCAAAGACACTGCTGCCAAAGGTTTCTGTGCTTGCTGGGACAGAGGACAGCATTTGGACCATGTCTGACCCAGCTAAAAAGGAGAAAATCTAAAGCATCCCTGCAGCTCTTCTAAAGAGCTGAAAAAAATAAGTTAAAAGAAAGATGCTTCCGACGTCTCTCACCAGTGTAAAAGTTCATGATTCCAGGATAACTATGCAGAAGAATCGTAACAAGCTGTCTTCATTGCAGACTTTGTATGGTGTGCACCATAATCAGTACATCCAGTGGAAGAAGGATGCCTCCTCCTGGCAACTTTCTGGGGACCCCAGTTACCAGTACTCAAGGAGCAGCAATAGGTCAAGGTTCAGTTCACATTTGAGGACAAGCAGAGCAGCAAGGGACCTCTGGAGCCCAACAGCAGACCTGCCTGCAGGGATAGTCCTCCCACCTCTCAGGGACTTCCCATGGGAGGTTCAGCAGCCCCAGGGGAGATCTTACTCTCCCCTTCATCATTCACACTGGTTTCCATGAAGGGTCTTGGTAAAGTTCAAACCACGACTCAAGATCTCCTGCTCCCTACAACCCACATTAAACAGAGAAGCCTCTGATTCAAAAGTGTGGACAGCCAAGCTCCCAGAATGTCCCCATGATCCTACCAAGACAGTCACCACTTTGAGAGTCAGTCCTTGGAGGCGGCTGCCCATGGGCCTCTCCTGCAAGCTGCCATTCAGACCCTTCTCCGAGTCCCACGTCGCCAGCTGTGAAGGGAGAAAGGGAATGTGAGGGATGGAAACTAGGCCCACCTCAGGAGTTCCTCCTAAATCAGCATCTGCCTCACAGTTAGGTGGACAGCAGCCTTCTAGGCTTCCTGGAGCCCCAGAGCCATCTCCAAACCTTAGGAGGATAGAGATGAAAGAAAAAGAAAGTTCCACTTCCCCCATCAGCTCACCCAGATCCCTAGGACTCTGCACATCTCTAAAATGTAACTGATAGGTAAGAACTGGTCTCTTCAGTGAAAGTTTACATCCAATTTCATTCTGTCAACTCATAGAGGCTGTGTCACTGTGCTGCGCACAAAAATCACCTTTGTGTCTCCCACAAAGTCTCCTCTTCTTTCATTACTCCTTTGACTTTTCCAAGACATAGAATCTTTAAGTTCAGCTGTTGCCACCACTACAAGCAAGAGGAGGTTCAGGAGTAATGTAAGCAGAGCCACCAGTGCCCTGCCTATTGTCAGTGTGTTGCAAACATCATAACTTTCCCCAATATTCAGGTAGAAGCTGGTAGCAGAATAAATGTGCTCTGAATCCACCATATTTCCCTGAAGACACAGGCCATGCTCAATAGCCCAATGCAACTCTGGCCACCACCCCAAGAAATTTCTCCTAGCTCCAAAACTACAGAAGAAACAGGTATTCTTGGGACTGTTTCCCTCCCTGTGTGCTCACCGGACCTGGACAGCAATGATTAAACCTTTTCCTGACTAATGATTTCCAATTATTAATTGGAGAGATACCAAAAATACAAATATTATCCCATCTCAAGCCAGCTAAATCAGAACCTCAGAGCCAGGCATGGGAAACATTAATGCTCCCAGGGAGATCTTGATGTGTTCCTCTAGGTCTCAGGCCTCTAGCATGGCTGCATATTAAGATCTCTTAAGGGGCTTTTTAGACATACTGAAAGCTGGGCTCTTCCTTCAGAGATTGTGATTTAATTGGCCCATAGTGGGCTAGATATGGATATTTTAGGTCCAGGTGACTGTAACACACAGCCAGGGTTGTAAGCCATTGTTGTAGATTAAAGCAATAATTCTCCAACTGTGATGTGCACATATATCACCTAAGGAATTTGAATGCACTCTCTGATTCTGTAGCCTGAGATTATTCGTGTCTAACAAGCTCCCAGGTGACGCTACTTCTGCTGCTGTCAATGATCCGTGGACAAGCATCTATGCAGCAGGGGATCCATATATTAGATCGCCCTCAGGAGCACCCATTTTTCAGCATGGAAGACCCAGGTTAACTTGAGTGGAAGATGTACTCTTTGTGGAGCTGTGCCACTGGAGGACCCAGGGAGCCACCAGCAGCCCCACTTAAGGATACATCTACTCTCCCCACATTCCTCATAACTGGACACCTGTGGCAGGGTCTGCACACTGAGCCCTAAGAGGCCACCATTCCAGCTGAGAGACCATTCAACCTGGGAGATGCTACAGTTCTGAGGCCTAAAGCAAATCTATCAGAATGAGATATGGAGTTCTGGAATTGAAAAGAAAGCTGAAATCTCTGTTGTCACTTTGGACATGATACCCACTAAGACCAACTCCACCCTAAATAATAGGAGGCTTGGCAGTGATGAAAAAATAACTTAGCAGCATGACCACATACTCCAAAGAGCCCCACAACCACCACTACTTAATATGGTGGGCACTGCAGTGAAGAACAAGTTCAGATCTACCCAGGATTATAATCAAAGGCATCAAAGATATTAATGGTACCACGCTCTGGAAACTGGGACAATGGGAAGGGAATATTATGGCTATTTCTCACTGAGTTTCAAGAAATAGCACTAGAACTCAGAGTTGATTGCTGTAACTAGATTAAAATGCTGGTCAAAAGGAACAGGACAAACTCAGTAAGTAGTGTCAAGGGTTTGATTTCCTGGGTCCTTTGGATGCTCCAATGTAGATAAAGGGGGCAGAAATGGATGTTCATTTGAGCTGCCTGCATCTGCATCCCCACAGCTGCTTATTCCAGGCCCTGGAGCTGCTTAACTCTGGAGTATGGTTCACATTCCTCCTGTGGGTCCCCCTTGATCATCTCATTGACTCACAGAGTTATGATGGAGGCAATTTGGTTCCAATGATGACTTATCCATCCCAGACCCTAGATATCCTACCCTCTACTGGGACTGGGGTTCCACGACCTGAGGCCACACCTCCTTGCCACAGAGAAAGGCATTGATTCTATGCTACCTAGCTTGGATGAGCACCTGGATTTGAGCTCTGCTTAGTCTTGACCAATCAGGCTTTACCTCATTTCTATTGGGATCGTAATCAGGCTGAATAGAGACAGAAGCAGGAAGAAACAGTTTGGATGAAGCCCTGGGTGGCTAGGGTTTGAGCTCAGCTCTGAGCCTCTCAACTCCTCTCCATACCACCCTCTGCCCAGCTCCAGGCAGTGCTAGCTCTGCTCAGACCATTGTAACAGTCTCACCTGCTCATTATTCCCAATCTCTCGCGCGCGCTCTCTCTGGCACATTCTCCAATTGCTGTTATCTTTATAATAAAAAAACTCAGATGTAGCTGTGTTAATTATAATTCTCTAGTAGGGTCTCATTTCCTGCAGGATAAGTCCTAACATTTGTGAGCCTGACCTGAAAGAAAGGCCTTTCTGACCCAGCCCAACCTGACTCTCAGCCTCACTTGAGTTTAGGTCGCCATGGTAAATACCTACCCTTCAATCCCTTACCCTTTCCCATGCACACTGTGTTCCTTCCTGGTCTTCATATCCAATGCCTTCTCCTAGGATGCTATTTCTCTTCTTGTGGGTTTGATAAACTCTCATTCATTAAAAAAATAATAATAAGCTTTCACTTTAGAATAGTTTTATATTTATATAAAAGTTGTAGAGGTTGCATGGCAAATATCTCTGTACCATAGACCCAGTTTCCCCTGTTGTTAAGACACAATGGTATCTTACATGCAGATACTCTGTGCCTGGTTTCCCCTGTTGTTGACACTAATGTGTCATATATTGTTATCACATGCTAGTGTAACACATTCTTCAACTAATAAAATGTTAAGCTTAGTCCCCATGATTTACGCAAAGCTGTAATAGAAATGATCTCCAGATCCTGCTCCTGTGGGCTTAAGTCTCAGAGCCAGCTATGAGGCCTGGTTTCTTAGTCTGTTCTCTGGGATAGTAAGACAGTTCTGAGGCTGCACATTACTCTGCTCATTCCTATTTCTGGTTTCCATTCTTGCCTGGGAAACCATATCCTCCTGTCCAAATCAAGTTCAATAACCGGTCTAGATTTGGGAACAAATATAGGAACATGAAAGTATGGAATCGGTAGGTTAATGAGACAGTAGACTCAAGTTCAGGTGCTTCTCAGCATTCATCGAAATGACCTTAGCCAGCCCACTTGACAGCACCATGCTTGAAATATAGACACAGTCAGTAAATATTTGTTCAGTATGCTAAACTTCACTGAGATTCTATTTTCTTATCCATAAAATGGAATACAAATAAGTCCCCTGCCTATCAAGTTGAGGGGCTGTTCATAGAAGAAAATAATTTTGAAAAATCATCTATTATAAAATAGTGTAAGAATTACAATCAGTTTATATGATTATATGCATATGTATGTTTGTTTATATGTAAGCATGTACAATATTACATTATTTAAACGAAGCATTGGTAAACATGGGAGAAGACACATTAAAATGTGATACATGTGTCACACATAGGTGGAGAAATTATAATTATTATCACCTTCTTTAAGCTCTTCTGGCTTTTAATAGGTTTTTTACTAGATTAACAGAAAGGAAAATGCACTCTTGATAAAAATAAGTACCATAGGTGGTTAAGCAAAATCCTATCACATGTACTTTTATGACAGAGGACCGAATGTCAAAGGAACAATTAGACTCAAATTATCTATCAGTAAGTCCAAGCCCATCTGAGAGTCAGAATAGAATAAATCTGTGATCTTGCTCCCTGGAGCTGTGGACAGGGGCCCTCACCTCCTAGGAGAGGCACCAAGCTAGTGTGACCACTGTCTTGCATGCTAAAACCTTGCCCAGCAGCTGTCTGGCTCCACAACTTATTGAACAGAGAGATAAGGAAGTGGCCAGAGCTGAGGCCCAGATTCCTGTCTCGAGCATATTTCTCTATGGAGAAAGAGGCATGGGCCTGAAACATTTTAGTTAATACTGAGACAACCCTGATGCCAGATGACCATGTAAATCAAAGTGGAACTTCATAAAACGGAAAAAAAAAAAATCCTTAAGCCTGTTACCATCCTTATCTTTTGGTCCGAAAATGCTTGAGACTTAAAGTTTTTGTTTTCTTTTCTTTTAATATGAACTTCTCTCTCCCAGCCCTTTGGCATCATGTGCTCTGACAAAGAAAGAAGGAATACTTCAAAGGGAAACACAAATTCTGCCTTTCAAATACATCAAAGTACAACCTTGTTCCTGGATTCAGGATCCTCTGTGCTGGGCAGGAGAGATTATTATTCCTTCACATCAGGATGAAGTCAACCGAACGCCCCAGGCTGAATGAATCTCTGTTTTCACAGAGCTGCCTGTTCTTGCCCAAATATTGAGACCAGAGCTGCAAGCCTGTGCCATTCCTGAGCTAGGTTATCCCTCCAAGCATCAAATATGTAAGACCAGAATAGAGAAAAGCATACTTCCAACAAGAGAATCCAGTGGAATTTTTTTTTTTTGGTACCAGGGATCGAACTCGGGACCTTGCACTGGCGAGTCAGGCAGTGGCACCACTGAGCTAAATCCCTGGCCCAGTGGAATTTTTAAAAAAATACAATAAATCCTTTAAATGTATCCCATCTTATAGCCAACCCATGTTGGGAGAGGGGGCATCCCACCTCAGTCCTGAGGGTGCCTGGGTGCTCCCTGCTGGGGAAATGTTTTAGTCAATAAAAGTCAAATGAGGAGTCACGCAGAAGACACCAAGTCAACCTGCTGCAGACAGGCAGGTCTGCCCATGCCCTACCAAGGTCCCGAGTG